GAGGTGAATCCTACTTGATCATGGTGTATGATCTTTTTGATGAGTTGTTGGATTCTATTTGCTAATAGTTTGTTGAGGATCTTTGTGTTTATGTTCTTCAGGGATATTGGCCTCTAATTCTCTTTCTTTGTGGTATCTCTGTCTGCTTTTGGTATCAGGGTGATATTTCCTTCATAGAAACTGTTCGGAATTGTTTTTGATACTTCAAGTTCATGGAAAAGCTTAAAGAGGATTGGAAGTAAGATCTTTAAAGATTTGGAAGAAATTACTAGTGAATCCATCTGGGCCAGGACTTTTGTGCTTGGGAAGACTTTATTACCATTTCAATTTCCTTGATGATGATAGGTCTGTTCAGGTATTCCAGGACTTCTTGGTTCAGCCTTGGAATGCTATAGGTATCTAGGAATTTATGTATTTCCTCAAGGTTTTCTTGTTCCATGGCATAAAGCTTCTCAAAGTACTCCGTGAGGATCCTTTGGATTTCTGTAGTTTTTGTTGTAATGACTCCATTTTCATTTCTGATTCAGTTCATTAGGGTTTTCTCTCTCCCTTTCTTTGTGAGTCTTGCTAGAGGCTTATCGATCTGTTTATTTTCTTGACGAACCAGCTCTTGGTTTCATTGATTCGGATTGTTTTTTGGGTTTCCATCTCATTAATATCTGCTCTGAGTTTTATTATTTCCTTCCTCTGTTCGGATGGGGCTCCTTTTGTTGGTCATTCTCCAAGCACTTAAGCTGTGAGGTTAGGTTTCTTTTGTGGTCTCACTTCTTCCTGAGGAATGCTTGTAGAGCTATAAACATTCCTCTTAACACAGCTTTTGCTGTGTCCCATATCTTTTGGTAACTTATGTCCTCATTTTCATTTGTTTCCAGGAATCTTTTGATTTCTTCTTTGATTTCCTTTCTAAGCTACTTGTCGTCCAATAGTGAGCTGTTTAATTTCCAGGTGTTTGATTTAGTTTTCTGTTTGTGTGTGTGATTTACTTCTAATTTTAGCGCATTGTGGTCTGAGAAGATTGTTGATACAATCTCTTTTTAATTTTATGGAGGTATGTTTTGTGTATCAGCATGTGGTTTATCTTGGAGAATGTTCCATGTACACTTGAGAAGAATATGTATTCAGCTTTTTGAGGATAAAGTGCCCTGTATTTATCAGCTAAGTCCATTTCTTCCATTTTTTTCCCTCAGATGAAGTATGTCCTTGCTAAGCTTGAAACTGGTTGATCCATCAAGAGGTGATAATGAGGTGTTGAAGTCTCCCACTAGTATTGTGTTGCTATCAATGTCTTTCTCCAAGTCTATGAGTAGTTGTTTTAAATACTTTGCTGGTCCCTCATTAGGTGCACATATATTTAGTATTATAAGTTCTTCCTGTTGTACAGATCCCTTGATCAATAAGAAATGGCCTTCACTGTCTCTTCTTCTTTGTGACCTTCTTCAGTCTGAAATCAGTGTGGTCTGATACTAGGATGGCTACTGCAGCTTTTTTTATGGGACTTGTTTGCCTGTAGGATTGTATTCCAGCCTTTGAGCCTGTGTTTGCTCTAACTATTGAGATGTGTTTCTTGCAGGCAGCAGAATGTTGGGTTCAATTTTCTAATCCATCCTGCCACTCTGTGTCTTTTAATTGGTGCATTTAGCCCATTGACGTTGAGAGAGATTATTGTTATGGGGTTTTGTTCCATTTTTCTGTTGAAATTTGGTGTATTTGAGGGGCCCTGTCTTTTCTTAAAGTAGCCCATTTATTCTTGTAACCGTGGTTTTGAGTCTATGAAATTCCTGAGCTGTTGTTTGTCTGTGAAACTGTGTGTTGTTCCTTCAGTTATGAATGAGAGTCTCGCTGGGTAAAGTATTTTTAGTGAGATATTTATTTCATTGAGTTTTTTCACTATATCCCACCACTGTTTTCGGGCCGTGAGGGTTTCATCAGATAAATCAGCTCTGAATCGTAAGGATGCTCCTTTATAAGAAATCTCTTTCTTTGATCTTGCTGCTTTCAGAATTTTGTCTCTCTAAGGTTTTGGTCATTTTGATCAGGATGTGTCTTGGGGTATTTTTATTCGGATTTCTTCTAGGTGGTACCCTTAGGGCATCCTGAATGTGGTCGCATGTTTTCTTCAGCTCTGGAAATTTCACAGCCATAATGTCTTCTACAGTTTCTTCTTCATCAGGGTTTTCTTTCTGTCCCTCTGGGACTCCAATAATTCTTATGTTACTCCACTTGGGTTCATCAGGATCTTTTCTTGCCATCTGTTCCCGGATTGTGAGTCTCTCTTCCATTTTCTGCTCTTTTCTGGAGAGTCTCTGAACTTCATCTTTGAACTCACTGATTCTGCCCTCAGCAGCTGTTACTCTGCTGCTGAGGTCTTCCACTGATTTTTTCATTTCGCCTACTAGGTTTTTCAGGTCTGACATTTCCGCCTGTAATTTTGTTTGCATTTTCCTCATTTCTACCTTCTAATCCTCTTGTCTTTTATTGGCATTGCTTTCCATTGTTTCTTTTAGCTCCCTAAGCATCCTCAGTAGCTCCCTTCTAAATTCCTTGTCAGAGAGGTTGTCTAGGACTTCATTACTGTTGGGTTCTTCTGGATTAGCCTCGTCAATAAGTAAGCTTGATGGGCTTCTGCGTTGCTTTACCATTGTAACCTGTTTGGTTTAGACCTTCATGCTCACTGTTACTATTCTGCTTGAGATGCAGTATGAATTGAGATGGGCTTAATGAATTATTGGCTAATGTGTTTCTGGTGGTTAAGCTAACTTTGTGGAAGTTCCATCTAAGAGGGTAACTTATGGTTCCTATGAGATAGGAACCATAGGAGGAGGATAACTTGCAGCTGCGTTAGCAGCCGCAACTCCGGGAAGGGTCCTTGCCACCAGGCGGGTTCCTGGATGAGTGAGCAGAGGGTGCCCGGAACGGTTCTGCTTTGGGTGCTCGCGATGTGCCTCAATTCCCATCCCCCACAGACCAAGGATATAAACTGGCCATTCTCAGGGGGTCTAGTTAGAAGAAGCGCAGCCCCCGGAAGGGCCCTGCCACTGGGCGAGTACCTGAATGAGTGAGCAGAGGGTGCCCGGAATGGTTCAGCTTTGGGTGTGGGTGGTGTGCCTCAGTGCCCATCCCCTGCAGACCAAGGATGTAAACCAGCCATTCTCAGGGGGATCTAATTTGACGCACAGCCCCGGGAAGGGACCCTATTGCCAGGTGGGTACCTAGATGAGTGAGCCACAGTTACTTTCTATTGTACCACAAGTATCATCTTGTGGTACAGTAAACATTTCAAGTGATGTGCCTTTTACATTTCTGAGAATCTCAGTAATAAAGGTCATGATTAGGCCAGTTCGAGCTCCACTGCATTATGGACTAGTACTCCATACTATCATGAAACTACTTCTCTATAAGACAACCAGAAAGTGAGAGAACATTAAATGCATCCTGCCTCTGCCCAGCAAACTTGGTTATCACTTTATATATTGTCCCTCCAAAGTCAAATAGCCCCAAACCATCCCAAACATCACCAAAAGACAGGTCTCAATTCTCTCTAAGAATTGAGAACGGTATAATATGTGATCAAATTCATTTTAACATACTGTAAGAGAAAATACCTTAATTTATTTTTGGGAATTTAAGTATGACTGTTATTATTAAGGTGAATGTGTGAAACTATTAGACATCTGAGTCACTTGACTTAAAAATAGCAGAAATATTTTTAATTAAAATAAGAGATATTGGGGGATGGAGTGATAGCGCAGCAGGTAGGGCGCTTGCCTTGCACTTGGCTGACCCTGGTTCGATTCCCAGCATCCCATATGGTCCTCTGAGCAGCTCCAGGAGTAATTCCTGAGTTGCAGAGCCAGGAGTAACCCCTGTGCATTGCCAGGTGTGACCCATAAAAGCAAAATAAAAATAAAATAAATAAGAGGTATAATTAGTGTGGATCATTCTTAGAATATAAATTACTTTGGGGGACTTCCAATCAGTGTTTAGGAAGTACAGGGTGCCATGGGTGATTTCAGCCAACTGGGTTAGCATACCAAGATGCTCAGGTACTGTGGTGCCAGGAATGCCCAGGGCACCCAATGGGGAGTCCCAGGTGTGGCGGTTCACTCCAGGTCTGCAGTGGGAATGCATGTGGAGGCTGAAACCATGTAGTGCCAGGATTAAAACCACAGCTCTTGGTTGCTAACTGCTCGACTAGTCTCCCAGCACCAAAACAGGAATTTATTTATTTGTTTTTATTTGGGGCTACACCCAGTGATGCTCAAGGCTTACTCCAGACTCTGCACTCAGGGACCACTCCTAGCATGTTCATGGGACCAATTCAAGTAATGGGTATCAAACCTGGGTTGGCCACATGCAAAGCTAGCACCCTATCTACCGTACTGACTTTCCACCCTCCAAACATAAATTTTTTAAGGAACAGAGATTATTCCTGAGAAACCAACAGACACTGAATAGATTATACAAGACTAATCTGTTTAACAATAACCTTTTAGTGAAATGACTGCAAAAATTATCAGGATGTCTTTTTGTTCACAGAATACATACTAGGAACTTCAACAGAATAAAGTTCCTTTTAAAAAATAAGGAGAGAAGTTTAGAAAGAGAGTTCAGTGGCCTGAGTGCATGCTTTACATGCAGGAGATCAGAGACTGACCTCTGGCATCACATGGCCACCTAAAGCTTAGAGGAGTGACCCCTGAGTAGGAGGTAGCTCCTGAGAATCACCGAGTGTGCTCCAAAACCACTGCTCCCCCTCAGCCCCCTGAAAGAGAAAGCGAGGGAAGGGGAGAGACAAAAAGAGAACAAGCCTGAGAATACTTTGAGGGTACTTTTTTTCTATTAGATGGCTCAAGCAGAATGCCAACAATTCTAGAAACTACTACAATCCTTTATTTAATAAACTTATTTTTAAGGGATGTTTCTAGGTGAGTGTTTCATTATTGCTGTATAATTAAAATCCATTGATGTGTTTGGCTCTGCTTTTATTTGCCCCCTGGTAGGTCGCCGACATTTTCATGCATCTCAGTGCCCTCGACCCACAAGTCCTGTCTCCACTGACAGCAACATGAGTGCCGCAGTCATGCAGAAGGCCAGACCCGCCAAGAAGCCCAAACACCAGCCAGGACATCTGCGCAGAGAAGCCTACACAGATGGTAAGCCCATTGAAATGGATGAAAATGTCTCTGCATTTTGCCTGCTTTATCCTGGCTGTCCAAGATTCACAAATGTGGCCACTGACATTAGACTTTACATTAAAAATGCATTAACAGTCAGCCTCCGATCACCTCAAAACTAATCAACTTCTCTTCTCCTGTCAAGCAGCTTCAGTCCTCACAGGTTTCTAATACGGTGATATTTACAAAACAAAGAGAATGTCTCTTTTTAATATTTTGTAAAAGGTTATTGTATGGTTTTTGAACAAATAGTCCTTCTGTCCTTGATGGCATGGCAGGGGGGGCAACGTTCTTCAAATTCACTGATAAAAGTACTTTCTTCTGAGGGCCTCTCATTGCCTCCCTCCCCACCTCTGCAAAAGTTTGCATTCAAATAAGAGACAAGAAACACATTTAAATATCAATTCTCACTATCTGGTGCTGCAGACAGCTATGTTGTGTACCAGCAGGCAGAGAATCTGCTTCCTTCATGCCTTCACCTACAAGAGAGAATCTCCCTGAATAGGTAACACTTGTACTCCCAAGAGAGCACCAGAGGAAATGCAAACATTGTGATCTTGTCGAGAGAAAGTCTTTAATGAAAGTGCCTCAGGTGGCCCAGCATTTATTAAACCACCACCTTCTCATTTGATAAAACAACCCCAAGGGCTTTGTTGGGAATTCATGTAAGATAATTTCTCCATGACTCACCCATCTCTTTCAAGTTGGCTAAATTTCCAACAGGGCTGGAGGAAGAAGGAGCTCAGGGCACTATTCCCCACCTCCTGGTCCTCCTCTCCAACCACAATCTGATTAGGACTTTCATTACCAGTCAGCAATTTTTCAAAAAGGGCATCATTTGCCATTATCATATGAAAGCCTAATATTATAGATCCTTATCCAAGGTTACAAGGAGGGGTTTCGGAGCCACTTCTCCCAGTGATTCCTGCCACTTGACAGAAAAATTTAATACAAAGCTCACATCATGATGAGCACAAAGTAATTTTGCAATGAGTGGCTGTGTCCATGCCATTATCTGTACTTTATTCAGAGTATTTTCTCTCACTCGCATCTATCTGATATTAGACTACATTAAATACTGGCATGACACTGCGCACCTGGGCCTCCTGGCTTCTGCCCAGGCCTCTTTTGTCAGAGAAACTGAGCTGTCAGAATATTATCTGATTTTGAAGGGTTATTGCAGTGGCTTCATGCATGTTTGCCTCACTGAAGGGACAAGCACTAGGTGTAAATCCCCAAAGTCTGTCCGTGGGTTTACATTATGGGACTCGGGTAATGGCGTTTTACAAGTTTTATAGCTATTCGATCAGTTTTTATTATCTAGAAGAGAGTGTTCCTAACTGGAAAACGAGTTGAACATCAAATCTTCATGTAAACACATCTAGACTGAATACATCAGGGAGAAAAAAACCTGGCCTAAAGCCTTGTGTAACTCTTTCCACTTATTCTGCTTGTTTTAAGGGAACTCTGGCATTGTAAACACAGCGAGTTAAAGGTCAGCATCACAATAAAAATAATTAATTTACAATCATGATTGTTACACATGTTTCAAAGTTAGAATTTCTATTTCATGCTTTATATTCCGCAGTATGTATTTCCATATTTTGAATAACTATATATAATTGATTTCATGAAAGTGGTTATGCAAAATTACATGCTATTATTTAGAAACCAATACTCATTTTATCTAATCACAAAAATAGACAACATAGAGATATGACTAAAACTATCTTTAAGAATCTGTCCAAAACTTCCTTTCAGCATTTTGATAGCCATCTGCCTTTTAGTTATGGTTCTAATGCTAACACATCTTAGGTTACATTCTGAAAACATTCTTATTTTGTCAGAAAAAAAATTTAACAAAGCTATGTGTTATTTTATATATAACTCACAATATGTAATGCTTAACTATAGTCAAGTGAATGTCAGTTTTTTTTAAGACACTAAATAAAAGAATTAGGCATACTCTTGATGGCAAAGTTCATGACATGGATCTCAACAAATCATTATCTAAGTAATTATTTTCTCCAGTTGTTAAGCTGCACTTGGGGGGCAAATTCATAAAGAAATTAAGTGATAGGCAAAATCTATACTATTTATTGTAACAGAGAAACCAGGGTAGGGAAAGAATATACAGAGTTATCAGTTGTCAAAAAGAATTAAATATATTATGAACATAAAGCATTCTTATATTTTTGCTTGTTAATGATTAAAATGTCTTAACTTCAATAAATGAGTCTAATTATTGTCAATAGACTTCTGTGAACTATTTTCAGAATAGGGTGTATCTGTCTTGAGCTTTTGGCTTCTTTGTCAATTTTGTTCAAATTATAAATTTTTCTGCAGAATTCTTGTCAACTCTTTGTAAAAGGATAAAGAGGACTAGGGAGGTAGTTCAGAGGATTGGAGTTCATGCTTTGCATCTGGTCAGATGCCTGGCACCACATGGTCCCCTGAGCACCACCAGCTGTGAGCCAAACACACAAACAAACAAATAAATGTGTGAATGAATGTGACCAAGTAGCTACAGCTGGGCTGATGGAAGTAATTTGTTATGATCCTTGTCAGAGGCTGCAATCATTTTTGAGAGCTATCATGACAGAGCACCTCAAAGAAGGTGATTTTAACTATGTATTTCCCCACAACTCAGGAAGGTGGGGAGAGTGATAACACAGCGGTAGGGCATTTGCCTTGCACGCAGCCAGCCCACTGAGCTGGATTCGATCCTTCTGCCCCTCTCGGAGAGCCCGGCAAGCAACCGAGAATATCCGCATGGCAAAACCTGCCAATATGCCAAACACAGTAATAGCAAGTCTCAAAATGGAGACATTACTGGGCCTGCTCGAACAAATTGATGAACAACAGGAGGACAGTGTTTGTTTTCAGACAGTGTTTGTATGTAGGAATCCTAATCTCCCTCCTTAAGGGCACCAACAGGAAGATTGCTCCATAGCTGGAAGCCTGCCTCATGAGCGGAGGGGTGAAAGCAGCTGGAATAGAGAAGGGATCACTAAGAAAATGATGGCTGGAGGAATCTGTCGGGGTAGGAGATGTGTGCTGAAAATAGATGAAGGACCAAACAAACATGATGACCTTTCAGTGTCTGTATTGCAAACCATAATGGCCAAAAGTAGAGAGAGAGAGAGAGAGAGTATGGGGAATAGTGTCTGCCATGGAGGCAGGGGGAGGGTGGGAAAGGGTTGGTATACCAGGGACATTGGTGGTGGGGAATGTGCACTGGTGGAGGGATGGGTGTTTGATCATTGTGTGGTTGTAACCCAAACATGAAAGGTTGTAACTATCTCATGGTGATTCAATAAAATTAAAAAAAAAAAAGGCAACAAATTGTACTAGGATCCCTAAGGCTCTCATTTGAACTTGTTTGCCTCTTTAAAAATACCTTTCCCCAAATACAAAATACATTCTTATTCCAATGTACTAGTGTTTAGCTGGGAGGGAGGGGAACACAACTCAGTTTGCAGCCACAGTAATGTAGCCATATCCTGCGCTGGAGGTAAATACTAAACTTCATAAACACTACTGCAAAGTGGAATGTTGCTTGCTGTATTCACAACTGGCAGGTATACTCTAACTCTTTCGGATTTGGTGCTTACAAGTTTAACCCACTTAAAGGGCACAATTAAAATTTATGAATATGTATCACGCAGTCTTATCTAGTTAAAACCAAGCATAAGTGCATTTCTAGGACCTTCTAATAGATTCTTTCCACCTCCTCTTTTCAACCCTTTCCGTGCATTTACATACTTGATTTAAAAACTAAATCTTCATTATTTCCCTCACCCCTGCTTTTCATAAATTATACATTCACCACCTCTTGGGAATGATGTTATTTTGACTTGATTTGTCATTAATTACAAAGTCTTGGGACTTTAAGCAGTTAAGTAAACAGAGTACTAGGTCTCCTTAGTAAGGTAATGCTGGAAGAATTGCCTACATACACATGCTCTTATTATTTTATATGCATGATACTAGTATTTGAGAATTCTTCTGTCAATAATGGTGTTTATATGATTACTTGAAGGAAGTCTCTATACGTATAATTATTCATGCATACATGAGTTTATGGCATTTGTAAATCTAATTTGAGCTCTCAGTGGTATATATATTCGCTGAAAGTAATGTTTATTTCTATGTAAAATATAAACTTGTTATGCTGTCAGAATTGCTACTTGGACTTGCAGTTATTATTTAATGCTTAAAACAATTTATTTGATAATAGGTTTATATTAGAACCTATTCATAATTCTCTCTGTTGGATACAGTGGCAGTTATACACAGGAAGTTAGAACTCCTTATAGTACTATTGGATTCTTTATTTATTTGCTGCTTTGATACAGATAACATCTATATAGGGCATCTGAAACTAGATTTTGTCTCCAGAATATATGTATATCTAAGACTTTGAATGATCTTATCATTGTAATAATCATCAGCTTTGATGTTTGATAGCCCCAGACAGTTTCTGATTTGATGATAGTAGCTTGCTGATAATCAGTGTTTGCAATCTAAATTAATTTTAAAATAAACCTATAGTACAGAAATGAGCCTTCAGTGACTCTCTCACTTTCCAAGTATGCTTTGCATTAGACCTTTTTTTCTCTTTGCTAGTTCCAGGCTCATTTGAACTCAGTACCATTTGGCCTTGGGTCACGATGTGTTTTTTCCTTCTAACTCTGTCTGCCTTCTTTTTGTTTGTTTGATTTTAATAGATAGGTAGTCAATAAGGGGTATACTCTAATGAAGAGTACTTTTTTAAAGTATTATTTTTGAAAAATCATTTAAACGAATGAAGAAAAATATGTACTAGTGACAATGAAAACTATGTTATAAGATGAAAACATGTTGGTTTTTGTAGACTGGGGGAAATTAAAGCAGTTAATGGTACATTGGTCACCATCTTTAGAAAAAGGGAAAAAAATGCTGCTTACTTGATATAAGCTACCGAGAGTATCTTGCCCGCATGGCAGAGCCTGGAAAGCTCCCCGTGATGTATTCGATATGCCAAACACAGTAACAACAAAGTCTCCAATGGAGACGTTACTGGGCCCGCTCGAGCAAATCGATGAACAACGGGAGGGCCTTTACCTTACCTTTACCTTACTTGATATAGTCTATCAAATAGTCATTACTTTCCAAATCTGAAATCATTACTGTTTTCCACATTATCAGGAGAAAAAAAATATTTAACTATGCTGATTATTATACTTCTGGTTTTGATCGTTTGAAATTGAGGCTTTGTTTAAGGCCAATAGATGAGCATTTCTATATAAATACTTCACAGGTTCTTTCTATTCACCTCTCTAAAGAAGCTCACTTTCTTTGCACAGCATCTCTTCATTATTTCAGTAATGTTTTTCTCATATGCCTCCTCAATTTTTTATGGAAAAAATCCTAAAAGTCATTTTTGATTCTTTTTCTTCTCCCCTGCTTTGATAGCTAATGATCACTAATAATATTGATTTTTCTTTATTAATCTCTCTTCAAATATTTTACTCTATATCTGAAGAGCCACTAATACAATTTTTTATTCTTACTGTTTTCTGAGCTAGTATCATAATCTCTTCATATCTAGTTGTAAAAAATCTTTGAGGGCAGCCAGGGGGAGGCCCCAACGGCTCTGCCCCTAGCTGCCCACGTTCGGGGTAAGCCCAGGCCGCTTCCGCAGCCAGGGTGTCCCGGGTCATGGGGCAGATGGAGGAGGAAGTGAGGGCCAAGACCGTTATTGATCAGTTGCCTTTTATTCCGTTCTCCCCAGCCTGCCCCAGTCTCTCTGAGCTTCCTATTCTGGTCTCACACTACCTCTCATTCCTGTCTCCTCCTGCTCATCTCTTGGCTCCATCTCGCAGCCTGGGCTTTCTCTCTTCACGTGCTTGCTCCTGTATTCCTCTACATTCTTCTCTCTCTGACCCCCCCTTGCTAGCCTCTCCGAGGTCCATCTTTCCACCCTGCACTCTCTCCTCCTCTTTTCCCTAGTCCAATAACTATCAACATCTCAATACTAGTTATTTTTGTATGGACACAGTAAGAGATAACATTGAGGCTTGTAGGGCAGCTCTCCTGGGAACATCTTGCCACAGACTCAGTCTACAGCACTCAGGCCAGATTAATCATTCCTAACCCTAGCAGGGTCCAAATCTAGTTATTACTTTTGGATCATGACTGCATTTGTCCATGACCAAGCTCTTAACTTATAGTTAAGCATTATGGCGCTTTCACCAGGTCCATCTCAATGCCAGGGTAGCACATAGCTTACCGCTTGCCCTGGTTCCATCCAGTCCCTCATCGGGAACCTGCTTTTGGGGGCGCTAGGAAGTAAAGGCAGCTGAGGCTTAGGTGAGAGAACAGAGGCCCAGGAGGAAAATATTACTGAGAGTCACATTGCAAAAGCCTGTCTTCTTGTGTCCATACAAAAAGGACATTTCTCTGAATAAACTATGCAAAGGACTTAGGGAGAAGAGAAAAACAATATTTACAAGTCAACAGAGCCCAAAGAAGGTTACAAATAAACACAGAGGAATGGGAGCAACCCAATAAACCTAAACTACCCGAGGCTATGCAGGAAGGACAAAACAGTGCTATCCTACATCTAGTAATCAAATTCTTCTTTTTTAATCTTCCCTACTAGAATCAGGGCAACCTAAAACTAGAATCTAATCACATTGTTTATTCTGTGAACTTACCAATTATTATTAGGATATGTGTTTCTTTTCCCTCAACTGTACATAGGAGCCATTTTAAAAGATACCACCACTTAAAACATTTTCTAGATCTCAAATTATATGCCTACTTTCACACTTAAGTGCTTTAAGTATACAAGTATAGTTCTAGATATGTATATTTGCCTATAAAGTTATGTATAACATATTATAGAATATATTAACATTTAATGATAGCTATAATAGATGATATTGACCTATGCTTAAATTATCTGACTATAGAGTGACCTTTGGGTCATTTCATAAGTGGAGTGATCTCTCAATGTATGTAGATTAAATCTATACAGTAGAATGAAATAAGGTAAAGAACACCAAATTAAAATTGAAACTCTAGGTCATTAGTCCCGATTTTGATTGTTTCTAACCTTGAGATTGAAGAGTGACTGAAGGTTTTTGTGTTTCAGTTTGAAATCTATAAATGAAATAGGGATGTAAGTAGTAAATATGATGACAAACAATTCTCAGATGTCAATTCAATCAATTTGAAGTCATTGCCCAAAAGAGAAGGGCTATGGATTTAGGACTGGTGATACTATGATGAAATTAATTAAGAAGGGGGAGTATAAATTATATCTCATAAAACAGAGTAACTATTCCAAAACTAGATCATCTTTAGGCTCCTGTTCTGTGGGCCAATATTTCTGAAGTAGATAATGAATGAATGTATTAAAATTATTTGCCCTTCTTCTGTTATCCCAAATTATGAAGAATTAATTTTCAGTTCATTGGGAATCAGTTATCCCAACTGTTATAACCAAGTATTTCACAAGTAAGTGTGAGTTAGGTGATAACCTTAATATTTGGTTACGTTATGCATGGCAAATTTTACAGTACTTGAAAAATATTCCTTTTTAGATCTTCCACCCCCACCAGTACCGCCACCTGCTATTAAGTCACCCACTGTCCAATCCAAAGCACAGCTGGAGGTACGACCCATGATGGTGCCCAAACTCCCTTCCATAGAAGCACGAACAGACAGATCATCAGATAGGAAAGGAGGCAGTTACAAGGGGAGAGAAGCGTTGGATGGAAGACCAGTCACTGAAAAAACCAACCCAACTGATTCCAGAGAAGCACAGGAACAGCAGAACGATGGAAAAGGACGAGGAAACAAGGCAGTAAAACGAGACCTTCCGCCAGCGAAGACTCATATTGTTCAAGGTAGTGACTTATTTAAGTGGCAAATGAATACAAGCTGAACATATGTTCATAAGCTACAGTCAATATGCCCATATGAGAAGTGGTAAATTTTACAAATATTCTCTCTAGTGGAGGAAACATACATGTACAAACAATTTTAAAACAATTCATTCTGATATGTGACTTTTATATCAAACTTCCTTGGAGAGGTGACAATTGAGTTGCATTTTAATAAAGCAAAGCATAATTTCAACAGGTAAAATAAGAGAAAAAATATAAAAATAAAGGAAATATATGACAGTGGGTGGGGAAGGGAGGGGGCATGAGGTCAAGGGTTATGTGAATATATACGTTCCAAGACTCATGTAGCTTAATACTATGTGTTTGATAAATTACTAATCGAGAAAAATATGAGCAAAAAGACCAGACACTCAAATGTAGAAGACCACACTCTTCAATTAAAAAACATTCAATGAAAGTATAAATTGAATAACCTCTTTCATTATCTTAATGTAAGTTAAATTATAAAAATTATAGAAATGTATGGGAAAAATCATCTAATGCATAAGAAAAATCATCTAATGCATAATAATAATCATACACAGGGTTATGGTTGAAATAAGAATTTGGAAAAGCCATAAAAACAATAACAAGTCAGTGCACACTGTTGCCTTCCAACCCTCTCCCACCTTTTTGTAGTTACAGTAGTGTTAAAGTATATGATATTGAGATAAAAATATTACTACACCCTATGACCGCCAAAGTGCCCAGGACCTTCCACCACTGACTACACCACTTGAATACTATCTTGCTCCTACTTCACCATCCCCATACTATATGGCAATTGGTTCCTTATTCCAGTGACAAGGATCTACAGTCATAGCAGGGAATGATTATAAGTTTACAATTATATTTAGTATAACATTTATGATGCCATGATATTTGAGAGCCCTCCCCCCCCAAAAAAAAAGTAGTTAGCCCAGTCCTGTGGGAGCATAATGTTATCCCGAAACTTGATTTTTCTTGGTTGAAATGAAACATAAGCTTTTATCAGTTTTCAGAAATATAATATTTTCTTTTGTGAAATAAAAATATTTCCAACTTAAGAACCATTAGACTTGACACACACACACAAATCCCTATTCTCTAGAAATAGGGGTTTATGATGGCTTAGAGTTAAATTAATGTGCAGAGGTTGTTCTAAGAATGTCAGCATGGAAAACTTTAAGCTACGTTGGGGAGCCTAAAAGAAATACAATATCATTGTATAATAAAATGATCATATGAGCTTAAAGTAGGCCTATATCATGGTCTATAGTACCGAAAAGAGAGTTAGATGAATGAAAATTATTTAGAGAATAGCCCAAGAGACAAAGATCTGTTAGAAACTATAGCCTCCAGACAAATCTATGGGAGTATTGACCAATGTGTAGAAAAATTCAAGAAGCTTTTCAGAGTTGAAATCCTCCTTTTGGGCTAGAGTGATACAATGGGTAGTGTATTTGCCTCGCCTGTGACTGATCTGGGTTCAATCTTAGGCACTCCATATGGTCCCCGCATGCACCACTAGGAGGAATTTTTGAGTACAGGACCAAGAGTAATCCCTGAGCATTGTGGTGTGCTTCTCCCCCGCCAAAATTCTCCTGTTGCATATTTAAATGTGAGAGAAAGATAATGTTTAAGGCATATGGAAAAGTTGCTGGGAGGGAAGGAAGAATATTAAATTAAGTCCAATTATTACATCTAATTTTAATCTTAATTATTAATATTATTTTAATCTTAATTATTAAGTCCAATTTTCTATTATATCTGAGCGCTTCAATAAGTAATATCATTTTCTCTATTAGGAAATATAGAAGGGAAGAAATATCAGGAATTTGAGTATGATCAAATCAGTGTACAAGTTGTTGAGTTGAGATGCTTAAAAGGCAGTGTTCAACTGAACTGATAACATCCTGTTATCATAGAGGGCATAGTTAAAATAGAGGGCATAGTTCAGAAGTTAGAAATGTGAATTCATGATTTATCAGAAAAAGTAAAGTTATATTCATCCATATGCTGAAAACTATGACTATTTTATATCAAACTGGGAGTGTATTAATATGCAAATATCAGAAGCCTGGAACAGGAATGAAAGTTGTGATGAGAAGAATGGAAGATCGGTTCATTTAAGAACTATGCTAGCTACCTAAGTCGATGGCTTATACTGTTGCAGAATGTCTTTTTTTTTCTTTTTGGGTCATATCCAGCAATGCTCAGGAGTTACTCCTGGCTCTGCACTAAGGAATTACTCCTGGCTGTGCTCGGGGGACCATATGGGATGCTGGGAATCACACCCGGGTTGGCTGCGTGCAAGGCAAACGCCCTACCAGCTGTGCTATCGCTCCAGCCCCAGTTGCAGAATGTCTTTGTGCAAAGATGGAACAATTAGATAGAACAGAAAACCAGTGAACTAGGGATTGGTTCCTGGGATACACCTTTCTTTATATCCTACTAGAGAACTTCAGTGGGTGAATCAGGGCAAATCTCATTTCAAAGAGGCACAGTAAACAGTGCAGGAAACATTTGAGAGTGTATGAGCTGAAGAATCCATATAGAAATAGCAATTTTAAGGCAGTGTGACAAAATTCATTCAGGGAATGACAGATAATTAGTCACTTAGCTGTTGAAGCTAGCAACCATAGCAGGCTTCTGAGATGCAGTGTTCCACAATGTGAATTTTATATTGAAATGGAAGTTGACATACTGGTGCCAGGAAAGTCGATCTGACTCATCTTGGCGGGGGGGGGGGGGGGGGGGGAAGGGGGGCTCTGTTTTGGTAACTCAAATAGACTGGAACTTATTTCTGTTCATTCTTATAATTATTCGTTGTTGAGAAAGGTATTTCTCTGTTAAATCTTCTTTTACCTCAATAGTAGAGACATACTTGGTTTTAGTTTTTTAAGTTCTTTTTTTTCTTTTTTCTTTTTGGGTCACACCCAGCGATGCACAGGGGTTACTCCTGGCTTTGTACTCAGGAATTACTCCTGGTGTTTCTTGGGAGACCATATGTGATGCTGGAAATTGAACCCGGGCCGACTGTGTGCAAGGCAAACATCCTACCAGCTGTCCTATCGCTCCAGCCCACATATTTAGTTTTAGATACTGTTATCACATTACTTTTTTGGTGGGTGTGGGTCAGGACACACCTGACTGTGTTCAGGATTGCTCTGCTCAGGAATCACTTCTGGCAGGGCTGGGGATCAAACCTAGTTCAGGCGACTTACCTGCTATACTATCTCACTGCTCCTCATCACTTTTTTAAAAAATAAGAAATATGGAAAATAAGGCCTAAAATCATCAGAGTAAACGCAGGGATAGAGCCAAAAGCAAAGTCCTAATCCAGGCTTATTTTATTTCCCTTATGGAGGGTTGTTGCAAGTGAGTTTTAAGTGGACAAGAGATTAAGAGTAGAACCTAATTAAAACCCTATTGCTATTACTAGCAGGGGAATCACAGTTATTTTCATTTTTAAGTGATAATACTACATTGTTAATTATCTATATTTTATTACCCTTTTACATATTCCTAGAAAAGGCTAAAGTTTCCCCAGTTTTCATCATGAGTGGTGTGTATGTTATGGACGTATACAATGACATTCATATGCATTTATTTCATTACACAGAGGATATTCTACCTTACTGTAGACCTACTTTTCCAACATCAAATAATCCCAGAGATCCTAGTTCGTCAAGTTCAATGTCATCCAGAGGATCAGGAAGCAGACAAAGAGAACAAGCAAATATGGGTAGAAGAAATATTGCAGAAATGCAAGTTCTTGGAGGATATGAAAGAGGAGAAGATAATAATGAAGAATTAGAGGTAAGTGATTTCCCTCAAATTTCCCCAGGTGAAATAAGTTATCAGCCTCAAAATTAAGAGCATCCCTCAGTCTCAACTAACATTGTCATTTTTTAGCAATTTATCAGAATTATTATATCAAGGATGCCAGAAATGCCTGATAGTCTCAGAAATTCTAGAATACAAAATTTTGAATGTTAATAATAATTTCTTTTAAATGTAAGTTTTATGCTCATCTACCATTTTGCAGAGGGGAAAATGTATCTGGAAGACATATTAGCAAATAAGAACTTAGTAGTCTAGATAATTTTGATCTGTTACTGTGTCAGGATATAAAAATCTCATACCAGTTCCAGTGTGTGATTGAGGGTGTTCTTCTTACTATCTGTAATCCTAAAATGATTGCTGATGTTTATATGGCTGATTTGGCCAACTATCTTCTGAACTATCTTTTGAAAACTGGAGCTTAACCCTCAAACTGATTCTCCCAGATGGGAGGCAAACCTTTTTCAGTCCTAGATATACTACTTAGGTAGAATCTACAGTGGTACATACTAGACTTGGCATTGATTCATGTACTAAAAGATGACCTATGTCTTTATTTTATATTGGGTATGCTCCATAAAAACAGAGAACATATCTCACTTTATATATATATATATATTCGGGCTATATATATATATTCGGGCTATATATATATATATATATATATATATATATATTCGGGCCGAAGCAAAAGTCCAGAGGGCAGGGTGCTTGTTATGCACATAATACTGTCTTCCCGTTGTTCATCCATTTGCTCAAGTGGGTACCAGTAATGTCTCCATAGTGAGACTTGTTGTTACTGTTTTTGGCATATAGAATACGCCAATGGGGAGCTTGCCAGGCTCTGCCGTAAGGGCAGAATACTCTCAGTAGCTTGTCAGGCTCCCTGAGAGGGGCGGAGGAATCAAACCCAGGTCAGCCATGTGCAAGGCAAACGCCTTACCCACTGTGCTGTTGCTCCAGCCCGTTATACACGTACCCAACCCAAATCTGATCCCTGACCCTCCATCTGGTCCCCCTGAGCTCCTCCAGGAGTGATCCCTGAGCACTGCCAGATGTGGCCCAATAATAAAAACTAAAAACTACATATATTAAAATATATGTTTAATCCTAAATAGATTTCTAAATGAATATTAAGCTATCACTTTTATAATTATGAAACACTGAGTTTTGTTTTAAAATGTATATATAGTACTCAGTGTGTTTTGATTTTTGATACAGTGACTTTCCCTTCTGCTAATGCTGTCAAGTGAATTTGTTTTTTGAGTCTGTTTTTAAGTTGACTATTTTAGAGAGGTTACCAGTCATTGAAGATAACTCTCGTCAGCTCTAGAGGGCTGAGTTTTGCCTTGCACATGGCCAATGTGGGTTCAGTTCCCAGCAACTCATATGGTTCCCCAAGCCTGCCAGGAGTGATCTGTGAACAAGGAATCAGGAGTAAGCCCTGAGCACAGCTGAATGTGGCACCCCAAATACAAATAAATAAGTGTTAAATTCTGAGTTAGATCTGTGGGAGGGCCTTTCTTCAATACGGTGGTTTAATGCAAAGCAGGAGTTAGAAGTTGTTCTAGAACTAATGAATATTTTGTCAACACCAACTGGAATTGACAAGGAGTGAGTTGCCATGGGCACTTTTCTATGTACACTGGTAAATGAATGAAGAAACAATTTCTAAGAATAAAAGCATAGAAATAAATACTAATAGGAGACTGTACTCTAAGATGTATATCCAGACTTGACCACTAACTCTCTCACACAGGAAACCGAAAGCTGAAGACAAGCAGAGAGTCTGGTGAGATCTAACGTGCAAAGGATCACTCAAGATGCCTCATGTCTGAAAACACATGGCGCCAGATAAGATGTTCAGTGCAATCAGAGTGTACAAATTTTGGTTTTATTCCTCTTACTGGAATACCGTTTCTAAAATCTATTGGTTTTCTTGTTGTTGTTTGATCCCTTTCCCCATGAAGAACCTCCCTATGCCCCCCTCACTGTTGGCATACACTAAACCTTACTTCCAGCAAGGGAAGTCTCTGAGCTCTTGCTTCAGTCATCAGCCAGCAGGAGAGAACAAAAAACGGTTCTTTTGCATTTTGCCCCTGAGATATGGCATTGCACTGCTTATATACCAAGCTAATTTACAGCAAAGTTTTGATCAAAGAACATACGTTGTTTAATAAACCTCATGCCAAGGGCTCTCAAGATATAATCTTTCTATACCTAACTGCTTAGGCAAAATAAAACATCCTCATTTTAACATGATTTTAAAATCAGGCTTTCATGCCACCCTCTGCTGGGAGAAAAGGAGAGGAAAAAAAAAAAACTAACCCATAGCAAATGCAGAACAACCACAATCAATTTAAATGGGGTACAAACATTGTAAATATATACTCTTTGCAACCCCTGGTGATATTTTATATTGTTTTCATTTCAATCATTGAAGTATATTCTTATTGGAAATGTACTTTTGGATAAGTAGGCGTAAGCCAGTTGGATCTCTGGTTGTCTAGTCATTGTCATAAATAAACCTAGCAAAAACCTTGTTCTATTTTTCAATCAAAAAAAAAGCAATTATAAATGCCTATTACAAACAAATGGATGTTTTTAATGACCAATTGAATAAGGACATCCCTATCTTAACTGGCCTAAATTTCTTCTGGTAGTGTCAGTTCAACTTTCAGAAGTGCCACTTAAGGAAGTTTGATTTTTGTTTTTGTAATGCACTGTTTTTAATCTTTTTTTTTTTTTGGTTTTAAAAGCACAATCACTAAACTTTATTTGTAAACCATTGTAACTATTAACCTTTTTTGTCTTATTGAAAAAATGTTGAAAGCGTTTTTTAACCTGTTTTTGTTAATGCTCTATGTTTGTATTTGGAATATTTGAATGATGACAGGTGGTGAAGTAACGTGCATACTTTATTGTGGGCCATGAAACCGATGGTTCTTGCTTTTTCTGGACTTAACGAAAAAAGGTTTAAGTTTGTTATGGCCATTGTTGAAACTTACAAGATTTACAAGATTTCCTTAGAAGTGCAAATAGAGGCATTACTTGCTTTAAATTGCCATACAATGCCCTCAGACTGTAGATTTTTATGATCCTTTTTGTTGTTACATAAATTTCACTGACTTTATAATTGGTGCTATTTGAAGAAAGAGAAATGTACATTCATTCATACATAGGTCTCAGGCCTGACCCCACTGGAAAACAAAGCCAAACAAAACTGAACCACAAAAAAAAAAAAAAAAATTAAAAAAAAGAAGAAAAAAAAAGCTGGTGTCCACCAAAAACTAAATGTGTTCACTTAGATAATTTGAAAGTTTCATAGAAAGAGTGTGCAGTACTAAGGGAACAATCCATGTGATTAATGTTTTCATTATGTTCATGTAAGAAGCCTCTTATTTTTAGCCATAATTTTGCATACTGAAAATTCAATAATCAGAAAAGTAATTTTGTCGCATTATTTATTAAAAATGTTCTCAAATACATCATTCTTTCTTGTGTTGATTTCCTTTCTTTTCATTGTGTGATCAAATTTATTCCATTTAATCACAAAGTTGTACTGTCTTAACATTTCACCACTATATTATCAGATGAATAAAAAATCAGTTTTATGAACAACCAGTTTTTTTCTTGTAAGGAAAAATTTTCATTTTATTCCACTGAAATTAAATATTTAAGATGAAACAAAAACTGAATGGTATCATTTCATCAGAGAATAATTCTTTAATATTTACTATATATTCAAATGTATATGGATGTGTACCTGAATTTCAGTTAATATTTCTGAAATAATCAGGAATCTACTCTGATAAATCTGATTTATAAAATTTGGACCACTCATTTTCCATCAACAAGAAAGTCATATATTGAAATATTGATCAGTAGTTATCTGCTTTCTTGCTACATATTTATGTAAAGTTTTAACAACTCAAAACCTACTATATTCCAGGCTTCATATTATTGTCCATTACATTACAGTAAAAATATTCAACTTCGGATGGATGAAATGATCATCATGCTTAAGAAGTGCCAAGAGCAGGTTGATTTTTCATTTTTAAATTTTTGGTGTTTTTTTTTTGCTATGACACATAGATTGCTGTTTTTACTTATCATAATATAGATAACTCAGAAATTTATGGGAAAAGGATATATAATTTGGATTTTAATTTCACAGAAATGAAGTAATCACCAGCATCTAGAACTAATTCCACAGGTTAAGAAATCAGATTCAAAGCTATTTCAGGGAAACAAATTAGACATAATCAGTGGCCTAATTTTTCCTCCTTCCCTTGCTGACTTACTATATATATGTATATGTATTTATACATGTATGTTTCTATACATACATGTTCATATACATACATGTATAAATATATATACATATATAGGTCTCATAATATGGACTATAAATATACGCACAGACACAGATTATGTGTGTCGCCATCCTGGGCTTGAGTCCCAGCTTTGTCATGGGCTATGTTTCCTTGGACATGCTATTTAATCTCAAAGTCTCAGGTACTTTACCTGTAAGTTCAATAATACCTACCTCATGGAGCTATTGTCATGATTTAGTGAGTTAATGTATATGATATGTACTCTGTAAACCCCATATACAAGATACTGTTATATTTATGTATTGAAAATCATTGCATACATGCTATTCTCACTTTTCACACACAGTTTGTTCCTAAAAACTTGCAAAGAGTAAAATAGTGAAATAATTTTGGTACAAGGATGGGGGTTTCCATTCCTGGTAAGTAAAATTCACTGTGAAAATATCCAATCGTGGAATAAATTTTTGGTGTTTCTGTTTGTTTCCTTGTTTTTGAATTTCTAAGGGCCATATAATGGGTGGTGATACGGATTTTTCAGCACCTAATTCACTGTTCAAGTTTGGGATCGTGCATGCCACCTGACGTCTCAGCTGGATTTAGTGTCGACCAGTGTTTGGGCTGCAGTTCTGACTTCCTGGCAGAAAGTACGAACTTAGTTCCAGATGACCTCGACCTTACCTAACTTCTTCGGTTATTTCACATGTAGAACCTGGAGATTTTCCCCCTTCCCCTTTCTGCGGTGTAGCATCAAAAGTCTAGGAACTATTTCCATGTGTAGAAAATGTGGAATAGGGAGAGAAACTTGGGCAGCAAAAACCTATGACATGATTACTCTTGTTCATTGGTCTCCACCCATTATTGTTGGGTGCTTTACAATGGTCTCCCTTCAGATGCATCTTCCTCTTCCCTACATCCCTGCCTTATTCCCTGCCCATGGACTCTCTTGATACCTCTAAGTCCTTTGAGGTAGTTTAGATGTAGGAAACAAGAAATTGAGTGTTTGCTCTTTCCTGTCACACTGGGACTTGGGCAACTAGAGTCTCACAGGGCATGACAAGATAGCGTTCTGTCTTCTAAACTGCTTGTCATATTTGCGCTTAGAATGGCTTGCAGTGGGGGTCTGACAGCTACTTTTGAAATTTAGAAGAAACAAGTCCCGGTTGGGAACCAGATCACCTGCTACGAATTTTACTTCCCCAGATATTATTTTTATAGCCATAGGAAGAATCCTAGGGTTGGAGTGATAGTACAGCGGGTAGGGTGTTTGCCTTGCACACAGCCAAACCAGGTTCAATTCCCAGCATCCCATATGGTCCCCTGAGCACCGCCAGGAGTAATTCCTGAGTGCGTGAGCCAGTGCATGAGCCACACCCTGCGCAATGTGGATGTGACCCAAAAAGAAAAAAAAACCTTAATCTTTCCGTTAATAAGTGTCATACTCATCGAATGATAATATTAGTAACACCCTCCAAATGAGATTGGATTAAACAGATGCTTGTGAAATTATAATAAGTGCACAATGAATATATATTTTACACTATCTACTTGCCACATTCAAGTGCTGTGTATTGGGACTTTACTGCCAGACTCCCCAAACCCTAAGCGAAAGGGCGCAAGGTCCAGGCACCGTAGTTCATATTCTTTCAATTTCCTCATCTCATGTTCCACTCTCTCTTCCCAATGAGATGGAGAGAAGGGGAAGAAGAAAAAGGAAGGATGGATTAGAAGAGAGAGAAGAAGGAGAGAGAAAATGGGAAGATAATGAATCTATCATGTAAATCGTCTACATGCCAGGTCTTTGATTTACAAGACCTTGGCTTCTGCAGCTCAGCTTTCAATCTGCTACAGATTTCAGAAACCTAATTTGAAACCCCAAAGGGAGTGCTGAATTGCTTTTCAGTGCCAACCATCTCTTTGCATTTCTCTGGTAACCATCTGAGGACAGTGTATCTTGAAAGCCCCTCAACTGCCTGATGGGATAGCAGGAAATAGCCTATAACAGGTGCAGCATCTGTTACTATTTCAAAATATGGTCTTGCCACAAAAGGATATGGTTAAGGAAAGTATTAAAAAGAGTCACTCTTTTAAAAATGGACAGAAATATCTTTGCTTAAAGTCTAATTTTCTCAGCTTACTTCAAGAGAATTTAACACAGGAATTTAATCATTTATTTAAAAAATACAACTTGGCAATAGATCAAAATGAATATTGAATAAAGAGTATAAAAAGTATTTCATTGTGAGCAAGCCTCAGAGTTATATTCTCTAGATAAATAAGAATATTGACTTCATTGTGATAAAGAAGTCTGCAGTAAGACTCCCAACTAAGGATCTTAAAGACTTTAGTTTGGAGCCCTACATTTATTTTCTATGATGAATTCTGATACTCAAGTATTTTCACACTTTTTCCCACTTTCTCCGAGCCTCTCCTTACAGCTACACTTTGTCAGCATAACACAACTAATTTTCATCTCTCTTCACACATATTTTCATCAGCATTTTTGTTTTTGCTATTCTCTCATTTTCCTAAAATTCTAATTCAAATGAAATATTCAATACGCAAATAAAACTTATAAGACAATGACAACACAACCAAATGTAACTCTCTTTAGCACCCATATCAGCTGCAAAATAATAAATTTAGTGCTTTTAGAAAATTGATAAGTAATACACAAAAATGTATGCAAAATTATATGGGAATGAGAGGAAAGAAAAATTAGATCTTAGACTAAAAAAATAAAGCAGATTTTTTTTCATGACAGGGATACAAACTAAAATGTCTTGACTTTTTAACAAAATCCTAAATAATTTTAAATGTTTCAAGGTTTTTGTAAGAAAATATTCATTACATGGTAGACATGCTAAATAGATAGAATTTCTAAATTTCTTATCATTAAAAATTTTAAGTGGGACTGCAGCGATAGCACAGTGGGGTAGGGTGTTTGCCTTGCACGTGACCAACTCAGGTTCGATTCCCAGCATCCTGTATGGTCCCCCCCGAGCACCACCAGGAGTAATTCCTGAGTGCAGAGCCAGGAGTAACCCCTGTGCATCGCCAGGTGTGACCCAAAAAGAAAAAAAATTTAATTTTAAGTATTATTAGCTTAGAATAATAATAATTTAAGTAATGGGCTGGAGCGATAGCACAGCGGTAGGGCATTTGCCTTGCACGCAGCCAACATAGCCGACCCGAGTTCAATTCCTCCACCCCTCTCGGAGAGCCCGGCAAGCTACCGAGAGTATCAAGCCCGCACGGCAAAGCCTGGCAAGCTCCCCGTGACGTATTTGATATGCCAAACACAGTAACATCCAGTCTCACGATGGAGACGTTACTGGGCCCGCTCGAGCAAATCCATGAATAACGGGAGGACTGTGACTGTGACTGTGACTGTCCTTTCTAATATGAGAAATAATAACTAAGAGTCAACTCTAAATTTAAGTAATATTAAGTCTAGAACAATAATAATAACAAATTATCTTTTTATTTTTGTTTCTCTTTATCTTCTTGTTCCATACTTAGGATATCAGAGAATGGAACAATACAAAACATACATTTTTAAAACATCTGGAGGATTGGGGATGTGCATACATGGTGGAGGCAAGCCTTGCATGCATAGGTCCTAGCTTAAATCCCAATCTCACATGTTCCCATGAGCACTGCCTGGAATATCCCTGAAGCCCAGAACCACTAGTCATGGTCCCCACAACTCACAAATGAATGGGTTTGTGTTTTTCTCAGAGACACTGTACTCACCACAGCTCCCATGGACAAATAACGGTTTTCTGACTCTCCATGAATGTTCATGTTTCTTAACCTCCTGCAGCAAAGCAAGTATACTAGGAATAGAGGTTGGGGAGAAGGTCAGCACATAAAGCATTTTTGCCTTGCATGCAGCTGACCAGAACTTGATCCCCACAGCCTAATATGGTCCTCCTAGCCCTGACAAAAATGGTCTCTGAAGTAAGCCCTGAGCACTGCCAGGTATGGCTGGCATAAAAAGGAAAAGGAATCCCAGGAAATGAGATGTAGTACTTTGAATATGAGACAATCCCAGGTAAGTGTAAATTTTAAAAAAATAGGAAAGAAAAAGAAATATTGAAAATCATTAATAAATTGGGTATGTTTCATTGTGATATATCTAAAACTGAAATAGA